AAACCACACTGTCATGTGAAATCTTCAGTTACACATGTAATAGGCCCCTTCAAATTCTCTCATAATTCACTGATACTATTTAATACTTTTCATTCTCTTTTTCATTTTGTATAGTTTGTCTGCGAGCCCATTACTCTTTGTTTTTGTAATGTTTGGTTTGCCATTAATTCAATCTACTGCAGTTTTCATCTCAGACAGTGTAGTTTTCATCTCTAGAAGTTTAAATAAGAAAATAAATCCCATATTTCCATTTACCATGTTCAATTTTATCTCCAGCTCTTCTAATATATGGAAATATAGTTATTACAATAATTTTAATATACTAGGCTACTGATTCTATCATCTGTGACATTTCTACATTTATTTTAACTGAGTGATTTTTTTCCCTAGTTAGGGGCTTTATTTTTCTACTTTTTGCATTCTGATAATTTTTGACTGGATACGTTATGAATTTTACTTGATAGATGCTCAAAATTCTTTTAAATATCTTTGGTGTTTACTTTAGAGCTAATATTGTTCCACTAGTGAGATAAAACTCTTTGGCATGCTTTTCCTGATAATCTATAATTATGAAGTTTTCTAATCTGTGAGAGGATAGACATTATTTTTAGACCTAGGTGAGCCAAAATTACAGTACCACTTCCTTATTCTTTTTAGTTAGTCCTCTCCTGAGCTTTTAACAGACTCTCTCTCCCTCCGTCTCTCTCTCTTTCTCTGTCTGTCTTTTTCTGACACACAGATATGCAACACACACTCCAGTACTCCAGTACCACCGGAGTCTCCAGTTTTTATTTGCTGTCTTTGCTTATTTGTTTGTTTGTTTGTTTTTTCTTTTTTTTTTTGGTTTTTTTTTCCGGTACCGGGAACCGAACTCATGACCTTGCACTTGCCAGGCAGGCGCTTTTGCCGCTGAGCTAAATCCCCAGCCCCTTATTTGTTTGTTTTTTGAGCAGGGTCTCATTGTGTAGTTTAGATCAGCTTTGAATTCACTATGTAGCCTAGGCTGGCCTCAAACTCCCAGTGTCCTCCTGTCTCAGCCTCCCAAGTGCTGGGATTACAGGTGTGCACCACCATACCCCGGATTTTGAAGTCTCCAGCATTTTTACTTTCTCAAAAGCAATTACAGAGATTAGATAAAATTTGGAATACAAAAATCTGGATTTGAGCTGAAACACTGAGTGCTGTTAAGATGTAGAGCCCTAGCAGAGAGCTGCAGGAGCACAGTTAGGGAGTCATGTTTCAAAGCCTTCCCAAGATGATTCTTTCTAGGGATAACTTTCCCCTAAGTATATCTGTTAAGGGAGCTTTCCACTCAAAGGCTTGGTGCTGGTGAGAGTATTGAGAAAATCAACTAGAAGACTTTTTATGTTGTTGAAATTCTGCTTTGAGAATGTATTACAAGTCTCAAACAAATTCCATTATCCAAGACCAGAATGAATCAGTAGTCTAAAGCAGTTTACGTGTAGGGTGGCAATGAGAACATCCAGGCACAGGTACTGCATTTGTTATGTCCAGCGGGCAGAGTCTGAATGCTGATGAGGTGGATGGGAGGCTTATGGTATCCAAGAAGTGTTGGTAAGAATAACATATTGGATGGTGTCATTATACTGTAATAATTCTGGGAAAGTCTTTCCCTAATGAACTTAATAGATACTATGTCTAGAACATTAGTGACTTATTTGCCTCTAAATACCTTAGGAGGTCAGAGGCCTGTGCCAAGGAGTCACATGCAAACACATGCAGAGCATGAGAAAAGCTACCTGGCAGTACAATAATTTTAAATTCATCTCTTCTTCTTTTTTCCCTTCACATCAAAAAACCATCCATGTTTCTCAGGAACCAAGAGCCTCGGCCCAAGTCATTTTTTCTTTGGGTTGCTCCTTATCTCTGGGTCAACCAGGCTGAGCAAGACAGAATATTTACCACACCCAGTACAGTGCCTGGAACATGGGAAGATATTCACTAAGCACAGTCAGCTCTTCTGAGACAAGTTTGACTGGCTTTTCTGTCTTCATCCAGCTCTGCATGTGGATCTCCATGAGGACTCCATCTGGTTCTTCAGGAAGCTCCCAGCCCATGAATTGAGGACTTCACAGTGCAAGTGACTGTGGGCCTGCCTGACTAGACAGGAGACTGCCCAGAAATGTGTTCAGCAATGAGGATGCTACTGGATAAGAGCTGCGATGGCCAGGGGAGGGGTGCCAGCTCCGACACAAGGAACTTCCAGACCACCCGAATCTCATGAAATTGTCTGTGTAGAAACAATTTTGAATGGCAAGGCTATGAGGAAGAAAAAAAAGGATTTTTAAATTGTAAGTTAGGTGGTAATTCTCAGCTCCAAATCTCACTGGGATGTAAGCCTAAGTCTGACTTATTATTTATAATCCTATCTTGTGAAAGAATCATGCTACATATAAACACAAAAATGAACAGTTACAAAAATAAAAACCATGGAGCTGATTATCCATTATCTTTCATCTTACTGAAGGAAAGATACAGAAAGAAGGGGGCTTCCTTCAAAAGGATCCTTCCCTGCTTCTTTTAGAATATGGTTTTCTAAATGTTTGCCTTATAAGAAACAATTGAGGACTTCTCTATTCTGCAAAGCAAACTGTGCAGTGTGGTTATCCAGCAAAGTAACAAATTACCCCAGGTGAAAACAACCAACATGCACTGTGTCACAGTGCCTGTGGGGTGAGAGTCTGGGAGCATTTTCTCTCTGCTGAGCTCACAGTTGAGCTGTGGGCCATTGTCTCCCTCCCTGCAGGTAGACAGAGTCCAAAGGAGCCACCTCAAAGCTCATTCAAGTGGCCGGAGCAGCTCAGAGGCTCCAGTTCTGTGCTCACACGTGATTTCTCTCCACTAAGTGACTCGAGACAGCATGAGAATCACCACAGTGGAAGCTGCCATCCTGCATAACCTCATTTTGGGAATGAGATGCACGCACAGGTTTCAGTGTCAGGACTGAGTGGGGGTGAGGTCACTAGGAGGCATGGATCACTCGTGCCATTTGGCAGCTGTTTACTCCCCTTCCCAATTGCTCTACATGCATGTCTGGTCTGCAGCAGGAAGTTCACCTATCTAGGAGCATGACAGTGAAATAAAGATCCAAGCAAGATATGGTGAATCATCAGCACCAATGGTTCAGTGTGAACTTCCTGGGAAACCCCGAAACCATGTGCAGTGGGCCACTAGTCACAAAGGGGGTGAGATGAGACTGAGGCAAGTTTGTTTTATCTTAGACCATGGCACGTATCTTCTGATAGTTGAGGCCATCATGTTTTTGTATATGAAGCATACTCATAGTTAGGCATAAAGTTTTTAATGTGTTTAGAAGGCAAGGTGATGTCAACCAAGTAGGACACTGTGGGTTATTAATTAGTAAGGAAGACTAGTTTTGTGTTATTAACTAGCTCTTCAACAGCAATCAAGTTACTTAATCTCTTTGTACTTGTCATATCTATGTTAAAAAGTACTTTACTGAATGTAGTGATGTCTACTAATACTGTACTGACAAAAACGTTCACTTTAATGATACACTGATTATAGTAGAACTTTCCCAAGGAAATTCGGAGGACAAATGGCTGAGTAATGACCCTTCTAGAGCAAGGGAAGTGCTTCAAATATGGACCCGCTCTTGAGTTAGGATTAAATAAGACATTTTAAATACAGTGAGGTTGTGATAACACTCACAGCAAACTGCCATGGGCTGGACTCCTTGGGTAGACAAATTTAGGGTAAGTGGGTAGTGGGTAATCCTGCAGATTCCTGGTTTAGTGGCAAGAGAAGGATCTCTTCAAGTACAGACTTTGCAGATCATATCTGCAGCTCATGGCTGTCTATTCCCACAAGCTGTGCATGCATTTCCAAGACCCTTACTGAGGTAAAATTGGCCACAAAACTCATTGATTTACATCATATAATCCATGAATTTTAGTAAATTTAGAGTTGTACAATCATCACCGTAATCTAATTTCCATCACCTCCAGAAGATCCTTCATGTTCATTTGTCATCAGTTGTTTTTCCAACTCCCAGGCTCAGGAAACCACTCATCTATTATCTTTCTCTCTGAATTTGCATTTTCTAGAAATTCTTTGTAAATGGAACTAGACAGTAGGTAATTGTGTTTCTGGTTTTGTTTTGTTTTCTTGCTTCTGGCTTCTTTCACAAGATAAAAAGTTTTGTGGTGTATCTATAATGTAAATTGTTCTCAATAGTTTATTTTTTACTTCTAAATACCATTCCACTGTAGGAATATATCACGTTGTACTTCTCAAGGATAGATCATGAGATAGGCTCTATGCTTAACTTTTTAAAAATTAAAAAAACAACGGTAAAACTGTTTTCCCCAGTGGTTGCACCAGTTTACACTCCCATCAGCAACACACACATCTCATATTTCTCCATGTAAATTGTCTCTTTCATTATGTCAATTGGTCCACCAGTCCAAGCCCTGGAAGACCTTATCTTAACTGACAATAAAAGCTTGGGTCAGTGTCCTGAAACAACTGTAATTTGGACTAGATGATTCATAACTGTCTCAAGAAGCAATTCCTTCTTAGTTGCATGGGTGGACTACTACTCCTTTTAATTATTAAGGCAACCCAGTGCAAAGTCCTAGAACATATACCCTCCTATCCCAAATAGTTCCTTTTACCGCATAAGTGCCCCTGATAGTGGGACCACAGAAACAAAGAAAATAGGGCCAGAGATATTTTAGATTAACCTAACACTTTACGTGTGAAAAACAAGGAAAATCTGGTGCATTTTATTCAGAAAAAAATCCAAATCATTTTCCACTATAGTTAGCTTAAAGGATATCTAAGGCTTTGAATAACTATACAAATATAAGAAGACAAAATGTACACTGTAATTCTTCAAAGCTACATTCCTTACTAAGTATAGCAATTACTTGGTCAAAACTGGCTGGATGAATTTAACCTAAGAGTAAATTTACTTCTTCTAAGGGGCTAAAATGATACAAAATAATGACTTAGTGTTGTAATAAAATGTTGTCAATTTTATTAAAAGCAGATTTAATTTCTGACATAGTTAAGTAAATTTCTTTTTTTTTTTTAAAAAAAAAAAAAGCCCATTTCATTGTATTACTTCATAAGAGTAACTTGGCTCAGTGAGACCATCATTGATCAAGACACATACAAAGCACCACATATAAATAAATGCAGATAACCATTACAAACTTTCCTATATGTACAGGCTCCCTTACACATCCACACATATATTTACAGCTAATAAATAAAGTTCAAAGCCAAAGCATCATTGATCTATTTTGCTATATATATCAGCATATATATATAGCAAAGTCTATACAAGCTAAAATTTCCAGTGCCATGTACTGATTTGCCAAATCTTTTAAGTTTGTGCACCTTTGATCAAAACCCAAATCCAGAAAATCAATGAACTAGCAATAAAGGGGGATGCCAGTGACAAATCGTACATCATTTTATTGTTAGAGCAAATTCCAAGCCTGATGGAGTCAATCACAGCATTTATCCTACATTATATAGATATAATTATCTTTCTCCAATAAAGGGCTGATGTTCTAGCACATCTGGAATTATTTCTACTCCAGTATGTTCCAGTACATCCCTTGATTTTTTATGTTCCAAATCATGCTGAATGACAAGTAGACATGTGGGGCTTCATATATGAGTTTGTGTTCAGACACCCATACATGTTCACTGATTGGGTTCCCAGCAATAATCTCTGATATAGATGACTTCTTTATCATTTTGTATTAATATATAGAAAAGCATTCTGAAAATATGAGATCTAGCTTACAAGTAATTGTCCACTCACTTTTAATTAGTCCTTCAAAACAATAACAGCCCTGCTGGCACCTGGTATGGCTATGGAAATCAAGGGTTTATACTCAAGGGTTTATAAGCATTGCTTATGCATAGATCCTAGGCACATATTCTTTTAACTTGGTAAAAGTGGTTCCTGTCTAGTTTGTACTTCACATGATGCAGAATTTGAACTTGAACACATTCAAGCCATAAATGAAGAGATATGCTCAAAGTATGACTGAAGCGTGATCATAACAAGCCTAAATAGTGTCAGATGATAAATTAGATGTAAATGATTTGAAAGATCTGAAAATACTGTTATGATTGTTTTCTTTTTCCATCATCCAACTTATGTGTTAGTTGAGAATTTACAGGTTCATTTTCAACTTTTATCCAGAGATCACTGTTAACATATAATATTAAGACAAAGAGAAAAGAGGGATAGAGAGACGAGGCAATAAAATCACCCGTAACTTTGTCATGATGCAAGTCAAGGGGGCCAAAGCTCAGCACCTCATCAGCCCCATTGTCTCTCCCTCTTCCTCATCATGTACTCTGGTTTCACTACTGGGCCACGTCCCAGTGGCAAAAGAACCATTAAAAAAGATCTGATATTTTCCCTGCTGAGTAAATGGATCTGACTCACGCTACAGAAAACCTTTTTCCATATTCAGACTTGAGGAAAATTTTGAGAAAACTTCAGTCTCCAGAGCCCAAAATTTAATTAAAATAAGAAGTTCTAACTAATTTGTGACCATAGCCAAACCAGTCACATGAAGAAGCCATATTTTACTATGCGTAGGTGAAATTTTTTTCTTCAAAGGACAAAACACAGGGCTTTTCATGTCTACCGTCTTTTAATGGTGGAGGTTGTGCAATTTGCCCACTAGACTCCTCGAATGGAAGTAGCCACTTTTTAGTATTTGAGATTGTCTCCTGACTGAACTAAGAAGGAGACCGCTGGGATAAATACTCAGGGAAATCCACTTTTAAACACTCAAAGCACTGGGCATCTCTCATAAAATTCACTTTGTTCACTTCATTCTTCACAGAGTTCATGTGCTAGTCTTCTTTCTGTACATTTGCTTGGTGTCTGAGAAAAAAACAGAAGGAGGCAATTTATTCTGTGCTTAGTGTTTTACAATACCTTCCCCTCGCTACCATTTTAATGATAATAAAATGTACTCAACTGGAAATTCAGAGGCAAGGTTATAAGAACAGACCAGGGCACCTGGGGAGAAGTTGATAATGGATCAGAGGAGGTGGTAGACCCCTGGGAATAACAGACACTAACATTCATGTACCAAGTCCTAAGAAGGGCATCATTTTCAGACAGAGCCAAGTGACTTCAAAAGTTAGGAGGATTTCCTACTTCCAAAATTTATCTAATGAAAGACATATTTCTTTTTTTTCTTATGACATGAGACTGCTGAGGAGTTATCAGAAGATGCCAGAAAAAGAGCCTTTTGGTTAATTGATGTTGGGTCAGAGTGGAAAGAAACCCCAGAAGATTATTAACCTGATTCATAATTATCTTCTAGATAAAATTAAGATGTATTTTAATAAAGCTACCTAAATACTGGTTCAGCAATCCTATAATCAGACAAGGATGTACCATGAGACTTTCTCTGTTAAATTCTGGCAATTTATATGAGTAGTATGACCAGAGGTACATTATAAAGAGCTGGAGTTACTTACTGATTTGTTCAGCTTTGCTTTTACATTCACATATGGATTTACAATTGTAGACAGTTTAGGGAGAAGGTGTAGGTGTATGTTATGCGTGTGTAACTTAAATGCTTTTTCTAAATCTTCATAGGAGAGCCTCTTTCTAAGAACTGAAGCAAATGTGAAATTATATCATGTTTGTGATGAGTGAAAGCGAAGTAATGAGCCTCTTAGGAGAAAAATGTCCATATTCACAAGAATTGAATGATTCTGCCTGGCTCAATACCGTAATCCCTTTCTGTATTGTCATCTAGATAACTTCACTTTATCATTCAAAGTGTATATACTATTATTCCCTCTTCATAAAAGATGAAAAATATCATATATGAAAGAAGAGCAATCAAAATGCTAGTTGGAGTAACCCATGAGTCATAGGATTTTAGTAATTTTATTTTCTTTTTGTCTCTTTCTCCTAATCTACTCAGAGAGACCATATATAAATTATATTATAGCGACTTTTTTTGTGTATACTACCGGAAAAAAAACTCAGGACCTTGCGCTTCCCAGGCAGGCACTGTGCTGCTGAGCTATATCCCTGGCCCACTAAATTATATTATGCAGTAGAAATTTACATAGAGATATTCCATATTGGATCTTTAATATATGTTTTCTGTAGACACATTTCTTACTGTACTTTTGTCTATAAATGTAAGAAAGGAAACTTGAAGCAAAAGTATTTGCTTTTTCTATCTCCAGATGATGCTGTGGCCAATCTTTGCCATTGTCATATTGTGTGACATGATCTAATGTTTTTCTTCTTTGTACATGTAACCCATTAGCACTTGGCACCTGGCAGGGGGACCAGTGGAGGAATGAAAATGACATAGCCTGAGAACTCAGGAGGGAATGGAGACAGTCACATGCTTGGTCTCCACTTAGCACTGACGTTCTGGAAAGATTCCGCTGCCAGCTGCCCTGGGGATTAGCTTTAAAGGTCAGGTAGAAAAGAGCCAGAAGTTGTTTTGAGATAGAAAGAAGGATCCCCCACATTCTCATCCTACTAGCACCCCATCTTTGGGGGTCCAGAGTTGGGTTCTTGGGCCTGCCTTTTTGATTCTGTGTCCTGGAGCCTGCTGGCACTTGTGAATCGGATTGTGTGGCTTAAGTTGGTGTGATGAGATATTTTTATCCCTGGAAACATCCTGGAAAGTTGCCATGGCTGTGGTGGCAAGCACCCACCCTGTGGTTCATGCTCTACAGGCAGCATGTCCAATGCGAAGAGAGGTGCAGGAGTGGGAAAAGCAAAAGGGAAGATTTGGGACTAATTCAAAAGGTAAAATAGATACTGAAGTATGCACCAGGAATGAGGATCAGGATGGAGAGGGGAAAAAAAAGAGGTATTGCAAGAAAGCAAATGGGCCCATCTGCTTTGCAAGCAGACAGGCTAAGAGGGGGCTTGGAGGTTCGGACCATGAGACTCAGCTCAGGCTACTGGCCGTAGGTGAAATGCAGAGCATGTGGCTGCCTGCGGCACAGGCTCAGACACCTCTGGTCTAAAATGCTCACCAGCCAGACTTCCTATTCAGAGACTTGTCGTGGCATTTCACGAACACCGCAGAGCCTTTTCCCTTCTGCAATTTTGACACTTTCTCTCTGGAACAGAAGAGCATCCTGTGGAAGAAGTGAGAAGTGAACACATCATGTAGAACAATAAGAACAACTATTCTAAAATGTGTTGACCGGTCAGGGCTGTACAGATCCTCTATAATCATGCTGACAAACTCTTGGTATTTCCAACAATTAACTCTGGCCGCATCTCAATGAGAGGGTCATCCAAGGGTCTAACCCAGTTCAGCAAATGAGCATGCTAACCAATCTAGGGAGGCACGCCCTTGGACAGCCTCAAAATCACCAGGTTCTGACCAAGGGAGGACACAAGTCCAACTTCACCACCTCTCGGTGTCTATATTAGTGAAGTAAGGAATTGGTTCTGCTGGAGGTTGAAGGTTCTACACAGCTTTTCCATCTACTTCATTTTTTCTTTTAGTATAAAAGTAAATGATGAAAGAGGAATGATTTTTCAATTTCAATTTAAAGGGTTATTTTTCTTAATCCCTGCACATTTAGTGTATAAATTTTAAATCTTAAGAGGCTCTCTGTGCCATCTGTTTCATAGATATATGTGGGGCAGAGCTGAGGAGACAGCATGAGATTTTCTTAGGCATCCTTCTTAAAGAGATTGGAGCCAGGCATAGTGGCACACACCTGTAATCCCAGCACTCAGGAGGCTGAGGCAGGAGGATCGTTTTGAGTTTGAGACCCACCTGGGCTACAAAGTGAGATCAAGGCCAGCCTGATCTGCACAGTGAGACCCTGTCTCAAAAAGACAGAAAAAAAAAAGAGATTCGTTTCATTCTTTAAGTGTCAAAGTTACATTTCTGAGATTTGTTCCATAAACCTTTTGTACTTTCAAGAAATAGTGTTAAATAGATGCTGAAATTTTTAACTTCTAATCTCAGCTCTCTCTCTAAAAATGACTGTGACTAATTCAGAAATTATATTTTGTTTCTTTTTTTATTTTAAAGAGAAAAAAATAAAAATATTGTTATTTTTATACTTTGTTTCTTGAAATGCATAGATTCTAATGCTTGAGCATTGCTAATATAAAACCCTGAAATCCAGAATGTCCCCAAATCTGACCAACTTTGCATGCTTATGCCTGATAATCTGAGCAATTGATTTGAAGACAACAATATGCAATGGAACAACCACTGGTGAATTCCTAGCATCTTGTCTAGTGAAACTCCATATTATCTCTAATGTTTTATCCAATAATTATTTTCTTATTCTCTTTAATGGTTTGAAGAATCTTCCATTCTTACATCTGGTAATCTGAGCAACATAGTTGAAGATAACAGTATGTAATATAACAACCACTGTTAATTCCTACCACTTTGTTTTGAAACCCTGTATCACTTCTAATGTTCTTGCTTTGTTTTGTTTATATTTGTGATGTTGGTATGCTGCTATTATCTTTTTTCTTTCTTTTACTACTCTCTTTAAAAAAAAAAAAAATGTCCCCAAATTGAAAACTCCTTGAGTACCAACATGGTACCATAAGTGGAAAATGCCACACCCCTCATATGAAGGGATCATAGTCCAAATGCAGGTGTACTGGAAACTACCTTCAGGCTGTGTGTATAAGGGGTATATGAAACATAAATGAATTTCATATTTAGACTTGGGTCACATTGCTAAGATATCTCATTATATCTATGCAAATACTCCAATATATGAAACAAGCCAAAATCCAGAACATTTCCGGACCCACAAATAAGTGACACTCAACCTGCATTTTTCTCTAATAAAAGAATAATCACAAAACACAATAGGTATAATGATCTAGGTTACGCAGTACTACAGATGAGGCTTGCTAAAGTTTCACTTGAATGTGGAACCTCCTGAAATATCATCCCCTGGTGATAACACTGGAGTCTAAAGTGAGTGGGCCAAGATCGGTTGACTCACTTCTTCTGTGTCTCTCCTGCTTTTACTCTGATCCTCTCAATGGTGAAGCCGGGGCTGCTCCACCAGCTTGGCCAGCTGAAGTAGGAGTTGCTCTTCCATTTCAGCTTCAGCATCAGGAGCTCTCCAATTTCCACCTCCGTGTAGATCAGGAAGGAGTACGTCTTATTCGTGGACACTTCAGGCCTGAATAACAATTCCACAACTTTGGTTAATTGTGGAAATCAATTTCTCTTTGTAAACAGCTTTATTGTTTGGGAGACAATTTTTAAAAATGCAAAAACTATCCAACAGATACTGGAGATGAACATCAAAGACATTTTATAAAAGCAACCCCATCCCTTTAACGTCTTTCAGAATTTATCCTAATAATGTGAACTATTTAATGCACTTCTTAGGAGAAAAATTCCACTTGCTAATCATTCAGAGACATTTTTATTTCCATGTATTCCTCTTCAATTTGCACTGATATGTGAGCATATTTCCATTTAATTACTATCAAAGTATACATACAATTCTCTATTTTTCTTTGTTCTTGTTATATATTATGTTTTACTTTTTACAATGCTTTATCTAGTTTTCTGTAGGTATACCTTTTAAAGTTACATTTGTTTTATTGACTTGATAAATCACAATTAATTTAACCATTGTTTTAATGTTATATGTTAGTTTTCAATTTATGTTATTGTATGTACCACTGTAATAAATGTACTATGTTTTAAAATATTTCTTAAAAATTTCATGTGTGTGTGTGTGTGTGTGTGTGTGTGTGTGTGTGTTACTGAGGATTGAACAGAGGGCCTTCACTCTGATCTACATCCTTAGCCCTTTTTTATTTTGAGATATGATTTTTTTTCTGTGTCTCTCTGTGGTCCAGGCTGGGCTGAAGTTTGCAATCAGTCCTCCTGTTTCAGCCTCCCAGTGTGCTGGTGTTGATTATTTTTTAGGATAAGTATTTAAAAAAAGATTACTCCATTCCTTGCTATTACATGTTATGTCTATGGAAAATTACTGGCTTTCTCCCTTCCTCACTTGGAGGTGCTAGCAATGAATGACAAACCTAGTGTGGGAAAGTGTACCTCCTCACCATCTCACCAACACTGGGTGTTTTGGGGATTTGTTCATTTAACAATTACCAAAGTATGTCACAATTTTGGATGTCTTAGAACAACAGTAGGTAGCATTTTGGCATGGGCATTTTACTACTTATATCTTCTATGATTATTATATTGACATCTATATAATGGCTCCCTGTTACTGTGCTTATAAAGTCAAAGCTCTTGAGGAAATTTAATTGCTTCATTTTATTGCTTTGTATAAAAGAAATAAGCAGTCATAAACTGATTAAAAACTGGGTGATAAATGAAAATGAAATGATCAACTGGAAGACTATTTTTCTGAAATATAAAACACAGCAAAAGCTTCAGCTTTGAAATTCCAGTTTCTTAAACTAGAGACTGGTTTTCTAGATGCCCAAGTCCACTTCTGCATCTCACACCCGGGGTCATGGCAGAAAGCACGGCCATGGCCAACCCTCACGCCAGGGCTGCATCCCACGGCTACTCACAGGGTGAAGGGGATGTTCTCACTCTCGGCCACTGTGCCGTACAGAGAGATCTCGAAGGCCTGGTTGGTCTGCTTGTCACTTTCAGTCCCAGAAAAGTGAATCTTTACTTGGTAATGGAAGACTAGAAGGGAGGAAATTGGAATGTGGGCTGATTAGTCCTCATGGAAACACTTAGTCCCCAAAGAATCAAGCCTTTAGTCCCACAGAGCATGTCTCACTGGCCCCCAAACAGGAAGCGCAGACCTTTGATGCTACCCCCTTTCAGAAAAATGTGGCAGCAGTGGGTAGGAAACCCAAGTGTATCTGACTTGCCAAGCAGTCCCAGTCTGCCGTAGAAGGGAAGGCCAATCAGGAGCCCCAAGCCCCAGTAATGCTTTCTCCACGGCTTCCACCTGCCTTGACCATCCTGTCCCTTAGTTTCCCCTCCAGGTCCTACAAATCAGAGGATCACAACCACCTTCTCCCCCCATGCAGCACAGGAAGACATGTGTGGGCTCACAGCAAAACTCATTTCACTGAAGGTCACAAGGCCATGAAGAGTGTCTTGAAAGCCTGTTTCCAAGGAGTTCTAGTTTAGGCAGAGCCTGTGGAACCAAGAACTGGAACTTCTGCATCTCCTTTCTGCCTCCTTCCATCTCTACTCCACACCCTGAGAAACCCATCGCACTGGGGAGAAGCTACAGGAACAGGAAGGCAGCAGCCTAAATACAGCGCCTCTGATGGGGAAAATTATTATGATGCTTTTCTCTTCCGTATCAAATTTTTGGCCCATTTTGGTCATTTTTTTTCTTATTTGTCCCTTAAATGCACTTTCTTTTAGGCTGGCATGCAGATTTCTTACCAGGAATGGTTTACAATATGGCAAAGTATATTTTAATGCCACTTTGAAATTTTTTCTAATGAAAGAAATTTCAATATGTTTTGTCTTGTGAGCTCTTGGTGACAATCTCTATTTTGTTTGGCTACATTTCTTTTCGTGATAAAAATAACTATAGCCAGGTACTAAACAAAAAAAACCCAGAAAAACAAAACCAAACCTCCTCAGCTACTGAAAAGTAAAGCCAAGTCAAGTTTCGGATTGAACAGAGTTCTTGCTGGCAGCACACAGACCACAGCAGGAGAGGCTGGGGGTGCTCATGTGTCCCAGGGGACAGGGCACACTGACAGTCCAGAGCAGAATTGTGAGGATGCGGGGAAGAGTGAGTTCCCCATCCCCTGAACCTCACACACCTGTCCTGGTTCCAAAAAGACAGCTACATTGAGGGACTGCTCACTGCCTAAAGGACAGATGCTCCAATTTCTATGCCACCAAATGCACTTCCAGAGTCCAACAAACCACCTTACAAGCAGGCACAGATGGCAGATATATTTTATTCCAGGAAACTATTCTTTAATATCTGCTCTTCCCTCAGGCTCCCGCCAGGGCTCCACAGAAGCCAGCCTTTCTGGAACAATTTACCTCATTACTCCCTCTTCAATTTCTCCTCCCTTCCTTAGGTCTCGTTCTAAGGAAGAGGTTAAGCTTGAAATGCAAGTGTGAAATGAATTCAGGGCAAAACAGACGTATCTTGGCAGATTTGGAATTCTCTTGCCTCCTATGTATAGTTGAATTTTTAAATACAGATGGTCTTTGCCTCTGTAAAGTGAAACTTCAGAAAGTGGCAAACTTTCTGAAAAGGGCCAGAGTTAATATTCTAGGCTCTGTGGGCTATATCATCTTAGTCTCAACTACTCAGCTCTAGGCTGGTGGAATGAAAGAAGCCTTAGATAGCCTGGAAATGAATGTGAGTGGCCATGTTCTCAGAAACTTTATTTATAAAAGCAGGTGGTAGGCTGGAGTAGGCCCAAGGGCTGTGGTTTGCTGACTTCAGGGTGATGGTTCCAAATTAGCTCTGAGCAGTACAGACAAGCGGGCTCATGGTAACATTTACAGTTACAGAGGAAGAGAGGAAACAAATCCCAACTGAGCACTGGAGCTTTACAGGCATTGGGAATAAGGAACATCAACAAAACAGACCAAGGCAATTCCCTCTGTATCCACAGAAATGCAAGTGAGGACTGAGGATTTAGCAACATCACTTCATTAACTCTGTTTCAGCAGACAGAATCAGCACGTGTAATGCAGCACACATGATAAAAACGGGACTCAGTGACCATCCTTTTTCCAGCATACCTTTGTAGGGCATCTGAGAACGAGTCTTCAGGTACATCTTGGTGTTTCTTTTGGCTCTGACCTTGTTGATCTCATAGCCCACATTGTTGCAGCGGTTCTTTCTGCAGCTCAGGCAGAGCCCTTTGTCAAAGGCCTCTTTGGAGGTGCACCTGTAGGCCTTACTTGGGTTCTCTTCATTCAGCAAAGAGTCAATGAAGAGATGAATGGAGCGCTCATGGGAGCACTTCACTAGTTGGTCCATATCTGGGGAAAAAGACATGAAGGGGAATTTTAATTCCACAGAAGTCTCAATGGATGCATTGTTTTTCATGTCTAAAATAGGGCAGATATGGTGTTAGGAGAAAATGCCCCCAGGATCTGTTTTTACGCATCTAAGATTGTAGATCTCATATTAGGAGGCATTCCCACTGGGAGCTGCTCACCTACCTCAGACTGTCAAAGTTGCAAGTTCTCAGGGAACTTTTGTCTTTTCTTCTATAAGTATGTTTATAAAGTCACAGTTTGAGATATCAGGGTAGAGGGCAGTTCCCCGCAGTTTATCATGTCCCTCTGTTATATTGAAAGTGACAATGAGTTGTAGGAGTTTCTAGAAAGCTACAACTGGAAGCCACATTGTAAAGGGCATAATTGTTAAATAAATAATGCTTTATCATACCTACTATGAATAATGAGGGTTAAGCCCCTGCTAATGCATTTCACATCAAATGAATCATGGAAATAATTATCAATGTCCTAAGAATGAATTTATTGCCATAAAATTTTGTAAGACTTAAAAACAGAGGTCTAAATTCTACAACATGCACAAAACTACTGAGCCGACTAACCACAGGTAGGTTGCAGTGTCTGCCAAGGGCCCTTAAAAGCCATAAATTTCCCACAGGCTAACATTATTAATGAAGCAAATATTAAGCTAATATGAAGTTATTTTCTTCCTAAAATTGTGGGAGATTTATTGTAGGGAGTAGTAGTGATTTCTTTCTGATTTACCTGTCTCTTAAAAAGATTTTTAAAAATTGGACTAAGTAACACCTCCCAATATTCTCAGAAAAATTCAAATTCACTCCATGAGTTTTGCAAATATATTCAAATTATGAAAACACATAGCCAGATGACATTGTATGATGCTATGACAGAGGCCAGCAGAGTTCTCCAGTAGGGAATATAGTCTACAGTACAACAGACAGAAGGAAAGTTGGCTGGCTAGCAATGACTATGCCAAATATAGTAAAATCCTTCAGAAACATACTTTGTACACATGTGTATATTTATAGTTCCTCCCACCTTTTGTTTTAGTGTTAAGGATGGAATCCAGGGCCTTGTGCATGCTAGGCAAGGGTTCTAACACTGCGCTACCTCCCCACCCCCACACGTGTATATTAAAAATACACCCTTATGTCAATAAGGATTAAGGACAAAACCACATTTAAATGACTCTCAGTCATGTTTACCTCCAAGGCCCCTCTCTGCAATCACACGGATAGCTTCCCCAATGTTGCAACCAGGTTGAAAAGTGCCTCCATTGGGGTAGATGTCAACGTGCCCCACTGGTTTCTGGATTCCAATACTTCGGCCTGGTGACCCTCTGGTGAATGTGTGTAGGACATCCACGAATTCTGCGTCATCAGGAGACAGGCGGCTAGGAGCTTCTGCATACTCAAAGTTAGGTCCAGCTGGATCCAGGCCTTGATGGGGGCAAAAACACACAGATTTTTTTTTTTATTTTAAAGAGAAGAAAATAAACAATAAAAACAATAGTATAAAATTTCAAAACAAGATTGTTGGAGAGTAACAATGGTTAGTACATTATATATTGTTATCTTCAAAGTAGTTGCTCATCATATGAGATAGGCATGAAAAACCAATCAGAAAGTAAAATTAAATCAGTCATAATCAGATTTTACACACAGATTTTTAAGACTGATTTAATTTTAATTCCTGTTCATAGTATACATTGGCATCCTACTGCTCAGTGTTTGAATGTAGGTGGTAGCCACTTAGATTTTAGATTCTTGTGAGCTCCTAGCCCATAGCAACTGGAGCTTTAAATTACAGTACTAAGAAAGTCATAAAAGTAGGCTTGGTCCTTTCTTTTTCCATACTTGGTATTGAACTCAGGGCCTCATGCATGCTAGGCAAGCACTCTGCCACAGACAAATACACCTAACCCTTTTTATTTTATTTTACTAAATTGCCTAGGCTGGCCTTGACCTTGCTATCCTTCTGCCTCAGTCTCCACAGCAGCTGAGATTACAGATGTGTGACACCATGCCCAGCTTGGCTCCTCTAAGATGGAATTTGAGTCTCTGAAATGACCATTACACAGCGATTTTTACCCAAATGACTTGATATTCTTTTGTAAATTGTTTCTGGATCTAATGAGACCTTCAGATAGCTGTGGGGTCTCTATCTACCTATCCATCTACCTGTCCATCTATCTATCCATCTATCTATCTATCCTTCTATTTATCTATCTATCCATCCATCCATCTACCATTTATCTTGCCACTGTCCAGACAACTGTCTTCTTTCCAGGTGGCCTTGGGAGTTGGTCCTTTTTCACTCTCCCTGGTCCTGATGAGAAGCAAGAAATTATATGCATCCCATGACCAGGGCATAGAGCAGAGGGAGGAAGGAAACACTTCTCAGAGAACACATGGGCATTGTGTGCTTCCTTCTACTCTACGCCGGTGGTACAGCCAACACCTGGTGAGCCCAGGAGAGCATGAATCTGTATCGTACTCCATGAGATAATCATGCCAGGCACATGCCCCGAAGAACACCACACACGTTGCTCTGATTCTCTTTCAGACTGTCAACCACTTGGACTCCTGAGATAAGACAAACAGAAGTGCTCTTACCTGTAATTCTGTTGACCTTCTTATTGGTCCGACTCCCAGCAATGCCAGCAGCATGGGCTCCGAGGCTGTATCCCAAGAGATGGACCTTGCCCACAGGGTAATTAAATTCATCCTTCAGAGAAAAAAAGAAGTTTTTATACTTTTCTCCCAAGGATCAAAAACTAAAAGAAATAAAATGAATATAAATACTGCTTTCTAAACTATGGGTACTATAGTAAATTAGTTTTACAAACTTCAATTTTGTATTGCAGATAAAACAATACATACTGTCTAGTGGTGAGATTATTCTCTTTCTCTAACAACAGGTTTAAATTTTTCCATACATTTGAAATTATATTACACACACATATAGATATTTATGCAATAGATCAATATGCATGTGTGTACAGTTTATGTGTGTGTATATATATAAGCTTTAACCTATTATTCTTTAGTATAAATACTCTGAAATACTTTATTCTTTAAAGTTAATCAAGTAATGACGTACAATCAGAAAATTTGGCAGTGGGAAGAGATTAGGGACACATATGATCCCTCATTTAACAGGTGAGAGGCTTAGGTCTAAGGATGTGATCTAATTTTTCCAAAGTTCACTCAACTGATTAGCAAGAGAAGAACTTTTGTCTTTTGATGATTTGTCCAATAAACATGGCTTATTATTTTTTATCTCCAATACTCTGGCTCCAATACTCTGTCAAAATATTAGCTTCCTTCCTTCCAACCCTAAGTAACTTTTCAAAGGTAATTTTCAGAGCAGGGTCCACAAAAACGGGTGAGCCTCAGAAAGTGGGTAAACCCTGCAGCTATCTCAGAGCTCTGAGTCTACAGCCACCTCACAGCCTACACACCTTCCCAGCCATTGTCCTCCTAGCTCAATTCCATCAGTCCCCAAACCCACAAGGCTGGGCCACATATGTTTAAACAAAAGTCTGGATCCTTAATCCAACTAAGAAATAACCACTGTTGATATTGCAAGCAGAGATTGGTATTCCAACAGGAGGCAAAGGCAAGATACAATTTCCATGTGCCGCCAATGGGTGGGGAAGGACTTGGCTGAACAAGCCATCTTACCTCTGTCCTAAAACAACAACCTTTTGTTTGCTCTGTCCATTTATATCTTGGTCCCAGCAGATCTAGTCACTGAAAATATTAAAGGACACAGCAAGGCAGCACTATTTATTGGCACTGTAATCTTCTCACTCTTACCATAATGGTGCTTTTGACTAAAAAGTAAGCCTATGCTCATCCTGAAGATTTGAATTGCCCCAGAAAAGATCTACATCTAAGGCAAAAGGGAGAAAGGCCAGTCATTTTCTATCTCCAGTGGAGAACTCTAGTTTGCACATGTAAGGTTTCTTCTCCAGGTCTTACCTCCATCCAGTTGATAAACCTGGCTACGTCCTCTCCCACCAGCTTGGTGTAGCCCGCAGACACTGGATAATGCTGCTGGGCTCGCGTCAGCCAGTCTACCACGATGACATTGGAGTCTGGTTCCCTCTTGTACAGAGCAGCCACAAGTTTCGGCACCCAACTCTCATACATTCCTGTCACCTACAGAGATGGATACGTGATTTCTTAAAAGACCCACTACAAATTGTTACAGATACCGCGGTTCAATACACCTACATGAGATGCAAAAGTGAACTTTGACGACAGCTCACGGACTCAGACAGGAAAGTGTTCAGGTTGTGCCTGCTCCTTCACAGGCAAATCTGAGAAAGCTAAGAAGGGTGTATTGCACTCAGGAGCTGTGCGCTGGGGTTTTTTACACTCCCAATTTCAATCATGGTTTTTGGTTGATTGTTGTTTTTGGAAATTCAGTAAAACTTCAATAATTCAGACTACTAAAAGGAAACATCATCTGAATGAATCAAAATTTTATGTTAGAATTACAGGTTGTTTTTAAAGAAACAGCTTCATTGCTGTCAGTTAGGCTCATGTTTCCCAATAGAACCGTTTTGAGAAATATAAACACATTTTTTATAAAGAATATTTTGTTCTTATGATGCGTAGCCACAGTAATGGTTACTTGATTATGCACTAAAATGGACAAAGAAGATTCTAAGATTCATATTTAAAATCGTTAATAGGAGACCTGTAAAAACCGAATTATACTTAGTGTAAGTCCAATAGAAAAGTAAGTGTCTTTGATTCCCAAACTAGCAAACTTCATTTAGAACTTTGACCTCATATGGTGGGTTCTTTCATATTTATGCTTTTTTTCCTCATCTGTTTACTAGACTCAAACTACCAAAACATTAGCTCCAGCTTCATTCTTGACACTAAATACACTGCCCCATTTTTCACCGCTTGGCTGTGCTTGTGGTGAAGATACCGGGATGTACACAGTCCAGTTCTATAGTTTCTATTAATTATTTCTGTAAGTTATTTTAACCTTCCCAGGCCACCAGTAAGCAAAGGGGTTGGTCTCAGATGATCTCAAAGTTCTCCTCCACCTCAGAAATTTCTAGTCATGACCGTTCTGGTTCCCCACCCATCAGCAGTGAAAAATGCCGCCTCTGTAGCTATTTTGAGCATGGAGAGAAAACAAAAAAGAAAAAGCATAAAGGTAAATGTTACTCCACTAAGAATTTATTTAAACCTCCTCTGAACAGTCTTAGGAAAACTACTTCAAGTCCAAGTGCAGAGTGGGTCTTTGCAGGAACCAGCTAGACACCCACTGGGGGTAAAACCTTGAGAAAATGGTCCTGCTCCACCCCCTTGACCCCTTTCCTGGCTGGGGTGCTGCCCACCCTTTGTAGCTGTCTTTCCAGATCGAAGGGGGATGAGTTCATTTCTGCAGAATTCAGTGTCAACTATGCCTTGTTTCAGCCACTCTGAGGCCCTTCTGCTTCGCAGAGAACCCTGTATAAGCAAGGAAATCTGAGCAAGCAGCACAGCTCCAGCCCAGCTGTGTCTGAGCTGTGTTCTGGGATTTGCCATATGCATGCATAGCAGGGTTTGAGGTCTCTCCCAGTGTGCAGAGTGTCCTCGCTTCACCCAGGTTGTGCCTTTGAATGCCCCAATGGCTTATCTAAGATAAGGCAGGAAAATCCTATTTGCTCCAGGCCTCTAATGTTAAATGTTTCTACATTATCAATGTTTCCAAGTTAGGCAGTAGGTAAAAGGGCAAATATCACAGGAGGTGATACTTTTATTTATTAGTTAGCGACTAATCTAATCATTTCTCTCTCTCTCTCTTTTTTATTCAACATAAAATACAGATAAAAGTAACCTCAAACAAAGGACATGAAAATTCCGAGAACCTACTCTCCTCAACTGAGAAAAAGTCTTATTTTCTAGGTGTTTCATCTGAAGTAAATCAAATCAGTACAGCTTTTAGAAATTGTTGATTGTACTGTCAGACATACCACTGACCCAAAGCCCTCCCAGCCCCCTGTACCAACTGGGTCAACAGCACCCACCAGCGAGTTTACTGAGTGAGATAAGCCAAGATCAGCGTGTCTGGCTCTGTTATCATCACAGAACAAACAGCTCTGGGTGATAGGGAAACTCTGTCCTCTGGCCAACAGCCCGGTCTCTGAGCCCAGCCAATGCCCGGCCACTTAGAACATTGGGACACAGGACATGAAGAATATAAGTGGGCTCGGTGGGACCACAGGACCAATGAGAGAAACTGGAACTGTGTGTGGATACTGGCCTCCTTGTGTCATCTCAGTACGAGGAGAAAACATCTTTTCAGATATACCGAAGCGTAAAATTCTCTCAGGGACAAGAATGAGATGCTTAGGAATATACAGTTTATTCCTATTGCAGAAATGTATTTATTAAGCTGATACTTTTTTCAAAAGTGTTAAATGCCAGATTGTATATACAACCAAATGCCTCTAAAACCATGAAAAATTACTTTGTTCCAATTAAACCTCTTAAAATAGAAAACGATTAATGCTGAGTTTAAAATTTTACAATAAAATATGTAACTTACTACACTAACTCCAGTAAAGTGATCTATTTTTTCAAAATAAGCATCTGTGTGGATTCTACTGACAGCTGCCTCTATCTCCATAAAAGTTATAGCAACTCTTCTATAATGCCAATAATGAAGATATTTTAGTTTTATAGGAAAATAAATCAGGAATATATATATATATATATATATATATATATACGTATATGCATATATACATATTAGCTAATTCTCATTAGAATTTAGTATCTGCTATAATATTTACAAGATTTGACATTATATTTCATTAACAATCTGTTCTATAAATCTTTTTCTTCTCTTCTTTTCTTTCCTTTTCTTGCCCTACTAAGGACTGAACCTAGGGCCTTGTGCATGCTCAGCAAATGTTCTACCCCTGAGCTACATCCCTAGTCCTTTTACTGAAATTTAATGTTGACGCAAGATCTTGATAAGTTGCCCAGATTGACCTCAAACTTATGAACCTCCTACCTCAGCCTCCTGAGAAGCAAAGATTACAGTCATTCACCACCAAACCAGCCTATAAATCCTTTTTAATAAACAATCAATCTACTCCCTAAGGATTAGGAAGTTTAAAAGCCAACTAAAGTATTTAAACAAGAACTACATCATATAAAGCAACTATATGGCAAACAGAAGTACTTTAAAGAGGAGTACTTTATGAATATTTTAAGTGAGTACATTTAATCACAATTTGCACTTTCCTAACACCTTGCATGACAGTTCCCTGCCTAGCCCTCTTCCCTCCTTAGAGTTTAAACTGGAGACCACTGGACATGGAGGGACCTTAGGGAAGTCTAGTCCAAGCGCTTTGTTTGACAGGGCAGCAAACCGAGACTCACAGACAAGGAGTGAATTGGATGTGTCACAGAGCTGGAGAATGGCCAAGCAGCACCAACACTCATGCTCCCTCCTCTGCTCTGGCCTCTGCGCACTCTCCCAGGTGACCTTCTTCAGGAAAGGACTTTTGGCTCTGTGCTAGGTGAATCGGGGCCACACCACCTTCCACCCACTTCCCACAACCACACCCTACATTTTGCTCTGCAGCGAAGCACAACCTCTTCTCTCACTTCACAGGAAGGCTGCTTTGTTGAAATAACTGCAGGCATTATTCCAAGGAGGTATTCATGAACCTGTAATATTAGATTCCACCCTGGCCCCAAACTGTCTTTTATTCAGATGTCAAGCAAAGCCATCATAGAGCAGGTAGAAATATGGGTTGCACACCCACCACTAGGTCCCCAACTATTAGGGCCTGGTGGATCCCAATCCATGCTTTCCTGTGGAGCCACCTTACCGTCCAGCCATGGATCACCATGAAGGTTTTGCTGCTGTGGTTGAAGTGGCAGTTAGCCACAGATTGGATCACTCCAGGAATGAGGTAGCAAGTGTCCTCAGCTGTGTCCTCAGGGGTCCTTAGGGCAAATTTACTTTCGATGTCCCTAAAATCTCTTCCTCCTAGTGGAAAAGGAAAGGTTGGATTGGTGGTTAACTGGAGGGCTGCTTTTATTTACTGGAATGGTATATTTTAGGTTCTGTAAGAACCCACTGCCAATGCTATGTTTGTTTCTACAGTGCTTTTTAAAAATTGAATGTGGATTATACAAGAAGGACAGATGCACTCATCGTGGTGAAGTGGGAGGAGATGACTTTGACAGTGAAGCAACACTGATCCCTCTGTTGTCCTCCAGCCTTCTCAGCAATCTTCCATTGACAGTGGGTACATGTGTGTCCACAGTTTCACACAAGTGAACTCCCATTTGGGGATGGCTTAGTTAGTTCAATCTTTTCAGAAGACATGAACTTAAGTGACTTGGTCAAGATGAAAAAGACAGGGAAGACCAGAATGCAGGTGTCCTGATTTCAATTCAAACCTTATTCTCTCAGACGATATAGGCTCATTGCTCTTACACTGTATAGTTCCCTTTATGTCACCTAATATGTCACTCCCTTTTGATCTGATTACATACTGTGTTTTCCAAGGACATTACAACATAAGACTTTTTCAAAGAAATATTATTTCATTTTCACTGGAAAAAATTAAATATTAGCAAAAAGAAAATTGGGAGCATAAGGAAAATTTTATATAGAATTTACTCGGTAGAAACAATATATTTTACACCGGTAAAAATATTCAGAGAAATCATTAGTGGATTGTTCAGAAATCTATGCAGTAGGTGAACCCTAGCTAATACTTTCCCCAGATATTTCTTTTCCTATTTATGTCACTACAATCTTCCAACAAAGCCAAAACTTAAAAGCTGCAGCAAAGCTGGTTGTAGAAAGAGGTCACTTTGGTTCTTTATAGCTAATCCCAAACCAAATAAGGACAGAAACAGAACCTAGCTTTTGAAACTATGGACAAGAACTCTAAATGTTGATAAACCTTCATGGGTAGTGTAGATGGTGCATATTATATCACAGAAGGCACTTGAAGTAAACAGTATTGCAAATACAATCAGACTCTTCACAAAGCTGAACACACAGAGAGAAACTGTGTGACAGGAAATTACCTGCTACTCATTAAGTTAAAAAAGTGAAAAAACCTTATTTATTATTAAAAGGTAGTAACTTATAGATTTGTCATTCAAAACATTGAGAAAGTGAATAAATGCATTTACCAGGAACAATTCTAATTTATTCATCTAAATTTATTCTTTTTTCACAACCCAAAATTTGAAATCTATAATTTCAAAATGACATTGCAATACATAGGCCATGAATAAAGATATGGATAACACAGTAGCAGTGAAAATATAGATATTTGAATCAAGCTCATATAATTAGCTGGCCTGGCCAATATTTTCCTTTTCAATAAATATTTTCCAAAATTCCTTATACAATACAGTAATACATATATTGGTTCAGAAACACTTTTGTTTGGGAACAATTTGATTCACGAAGAGAAGTGTTGGGCAAAAATTTGCTTCTGTCCTCAAGCTATACATCAGGTGAAGAACATGACAGCAGCTATCTTTCCCAGAATTTTGGAATGAATTAAGTTCATGAGTCATTGAGATACAACTGTATCCTGATTGCTTGCCAAGTGATTCACTGTATGCAACAAGTCGATAGCACACACACACACACACACACACACACACACACACACACACACACACACCCCTTTACTGCCTAAAATGTAGGAGACATTTTTTCATTATTATATCAGTTAGAAAGAAATGAGTTTTGTTATAGTTACTAACCACTCTAAGGTCATTTATTCAAATAAAAATCTGTGCAAAACTACTGATCTTTCAAGTTCTTTTCACTTCCATACATATAACTACACTGAACTCATCCATCCACCAAGAATACCCTCTGCTTCATCTTATTTGAAGATATAGGCCTCCTTTTTCGTTTCTAATCAGAAAATGTTGGCTTGATTAGCTAGTGAAAAAGAACACTGCATATTTTTATCTAATTTTGCTTTGAGAGACCAAAGAAGTTCTTTTATCTTTAGAAAGTGTCTTAGAAAATGTAAAACTAATTTGCCTTGTTCCCACACCTCTCCACCTCAAATAACTCATGCCTCCTCCCTACCAATCTTATTTTAACATGATTGATTATCAAGCTTTTAAAAATAGAGGTCTATTGTCACACTGTCACATTAGACAATTGCCTTGTACAGTTCCAGAGATGTCTTTCACTTTAGTCTACTTTTCATGGAATTATTATGCAACTGGGTGACCCTGGTGGTGGTTTTGAAATGACCAAGAAAATTCTCTGAAATTACTAAAGCTGGCTCTGTGTACTTCCATGAAAAAGAAAACAGAAAAAGTCTATTCATTCTACAGATCCTCTGTCAGATTATATGCATGGCTCACTGACAGCTTCCATTTGCTACAACTGACATTACTGCCTATTCTGTTGCTTGCAGAGATAGGTAGAAGAAAATTCATACATTCTCAAGCCCATTTATATGTGGAGACTTTTAAAGGCAAGGATTTCTCATTTCAAGTTCGAGAGAAAAATAGTGCAACTCTGTGTTATCTTATGGTTTCACTGCTATGTTAGATATGAAGTCATAAATCTTATTACAGATTAGTCAAGACTTCCTTGTATCTGGTGTCCTAATATGAATTTTTATATTGCTTGTGTTTGCAACCCCTCAAGGATATCTCAGCATCCTAAAGATTGATATACTTCCCCAAACATCTATCATCCCTCAGCCACTGATTTAGGCTAGGAAGAGACAGGTGGGAAGAGGGACCCACCTGTGGGTCAGTCCATGTGCTTAGCCGTCTCAGTGCATGCAGGAATTGCTACTGGGGTGGCACATGAGCTGATCTGATGAGGCTGTTACTAAAGAAACTGTTGTTTCCCACACATCGCAATGGTATTAGTGATCCCCTAGTTATTCAACTACATTGTCTTTTACCAGATACATTAGGGATTAAGGCCATATTAGAATAGAAGAAGAGAGAGAAGGAAGGAGTGAAGAGAGGGAGGGAGGAAGTGGGGAAGGGAGGGAGTCTGAGGTATATCATTCATAAAGGCCTCCATCTTGAATTTGACTGGCACAGCCATGCCACTCTGCCAGCGGAGAGAACCCCGCAGACACGTTCCCTCGAAGCACTAAAGGGAGATTCTTGGGTGCCACAAAAACAACAAGTTAAGGCATTCTTGGCTATGCAATTTTTACTCCTAAATTTCAAAATAGATAGCAAAAAATCTGTGTGTAAACAAAGAAGCAATGTATCTCAATGTCCTCAATAATTCACAAAGATGATATTATGCTGAGTCAAAAAACCTAAGGAAACGTAAATATTTTCAGTGGGGCATTATTGTTGCCAGAAAACGAGGTGCGCTGAGCATTTTAGGAGTTAACAGGTGATACTCTGAAGGCAAATCAGTTACCTTGTGGATAGGAGTAACGTTCGTATGAAGACAGAAGGTAGCAGAGCTCAATTACAATGCAGTGACCTTGGAAGTCTCCCTCCCTCTCCCTCCTCTCCTCCTTGCCCCTCCTTCTCCCTCCTCCTTCCCTTCCTTTCCTCTTCCTCCCTGTACCTCTCCCTCCCCCCTCTGTCCTCCACCTGTAGCCCTACACCTCCCCCTTTTTCTCCCTCCCTCTTTCTCAGCACAAACACACCTACAGGAATTTATCAATAATTCATTTGCTTCCTGAGACCAATGGTCATACTTATTAACAAGTTCAGTGTCTGTAGGATGCCAAAGAAAACAGGTTCAATTACTGAAATGGTCAGTTTGGAAAGCAAAAAAAATTAAGATTTCCATCTGACTGAATTGTTGGTCTGTTCAGATATCCCTGTGTGGACAATGTTCCAGACTAATCTAACAAGCACATTTACTTTTTCTTCTTATGAAAAATAAATTTGTTTTAAAAATTAATTGAATCGTGAAAAGAAGACCTGTACTTACTATAGGTATTTTGTGCTGAATTTTCTCTAAAATTAGGACTAATCTTCCACCCTCCCCCAAAATAAGGGTGACAACATAGTTTCTGAGATGTGTTACTGCACAGCTGAATTAGACCATGGGGAAATGATCAGTGTGAAGCATCATTACTCAAAAGGGATCTTGTGAACTGGTTAATGAAATATTTTCTTTGTGTGCCATCATGTAGACATATCTATACTCAGATTTTCTGCCTTGAAATACAAACTTCTTTTACTGGTAATCAGAAGTTAACATTTTAAGAGAGATAGCAAACAGAAATATCCAATTGCTTCAAATGAACACAATGAAAGTCAGTTATTACCTTGCTAACCATTGCTTTTATTTGAGGGAAGGCTGAATAAATTGTGGGGCTCTATTCTTTTAATTAAAATGTAGGTACTAACTCATGATTTTCCCCACCATAGTTAACTTTGCAAACTAAGTTTTTTCAAAAAGTAGATTACTGATTTCACAGTGGCTATATTGTGGATGAAGCGCTATTGAGAAACACTGGATTTTGAGTCATGTATCTATCCTCACTGTTATCCCTCGAAAAGTATGGCCTTTCATGTTATTCTCAAGCTTTTGTAAACTTACATATCAGTCTTAAATTAATCTGAGCCAGAACAGTATTGCATCGACATAGACTTCACCATCTAAGACAAACACACATAGGAACTCACTAAACAAAACCAGACATGGGATATGGATTAGATCAATTGCAGCCATGCTGAATGGGCCGTCTTTCTCATATTCCACTTACCAAGGGGGGATATCTTCTGCTATTCATTCAAAAGTAAAAATCACTAAACTAGCCAGTAAAGACCACTCTGAGAGAACAAACTGGGAAGAGCAGAGTAAATAAGTTGGCACACATCAAATAAGCTCATTTCCAGTAGAATATTAAACATACATTAAGCTCTATATACTACTATCTTAGGTGATCATATAGATGATATGATCACCCTTTTCTCTCTTTCTTCCCAACAGATATTTATTTCCCCCAGGAGAATGAGGAGTCACAGTCAAATGCTGTCACTTCACACAAAAAACCCCCATTCTCAAAACGGCCACAAGATGGTAACGTGAGGTCATATAGTCCAGTGAAGAAACAGCACACAGGGAATTTCAAACAGTCTCTGAGTAAACTGGACCCTTAGAGTATCATTGCTTCCAAAACTAACAAAGCCTTCAACTTTGGCCATGACAGAATGTGACAAGAACCACTTTTCAGAAAGATGTGCTATAGAGTTAAAAAATGCCATTGATTTAAAAAAAACTATTACAGCCCTGTGGTGACAAACCATGTTTGGTGAACAGAACTGCCCCAAAATTTACATTGATCATGTTGTGCTTGCCATGGAAGTTGGAAAATACATTGTGAGGAAATTCAAATGGTCTGTCCACTTAGATCTGAAAAGTAATCATGCTCAAGTCTTGAATACCTTCCCTACATGTTGTGAGCCAAAGTCATCACCAGCCATCATTGTGATGGTAGAAGCATCTTCACATTTCAGTGCAACCTTGAGAGGACTAATGCAGGAACAGGTACTGGTAGAAGAAGAAACAAACAGAAAAATGGGGCATGTTTCAAGACACTTTTGAAAAAACAACTTGACATATTAGGAGCAGTAGATTGTATGGTCCAATTTCTCCTCCCTAATAAAGCAAGAATGTAGGGCTGAGCTAAAAATACACTGCTTCAAAGAAAGTGAAAAAATCCTCCATTGCAACTCTCTCCCTCAACCTAACTCCCACCCTTCAGAACTGCTATTAATCAGTTGCTCTCTGGCTGAGCTCGACCTCAGTGACATTTACTATTTTGCTGTCATTGTCCATCTTGTTTAACTCAGACACTAGCCTAGAAATTCATCATGGCCTGTGACATAAAACTGCAGCGACGGAGCAGGGACCCAGAGGGTCCCCTCTTAGCTCTTCAAGTTTCCTGATTGGAGCCAGCAACACTGCAGTGGCTCCAAAAATAAAGAACCTGACCGCAAAGCCTCTGGTCTGCACGGTGTTCCTAGAAAGAAACCAAGATGATTAAGTAAACTCAAAGCCTGAGGGAGGAGCCAGTCACCTCCCCAGGATGTATGCTTCTCAGCTTGATACTGGTACGCTCCAGGAGGAATACATCCCAACTCCAGCAGAAAGCACTGGAAAGTAGCTAGAGGCATAACATAAAGAGTGGGTGGCTCAAAAATGGACAGGATGAGAGGGAATTACTTCAAGTCTCTTAGAAAGAACCATTCCTAAGACATTTTACAGGCGGGAAAAGCTCAAGTCAATTAAAAATCAATTCAATTAAGTAGTCACTGAAGTCCATTTGAATCAAAGAATGAAAGGGGCCTCAGAGAATTTTCAGTCCTCTCAGCTCCTGTTTTTAGAGTTGAGGAAGCTAAACTCAGAGAAGTAAGACCTACTAACCCCCAGAGTTAAGGTCGCCAACTACTAAAAGAGCACAGCAAAAGTTTAAATGAGGTAACAGATTCCTGTGTGTGTTTTACAGTACAGAAAATTGGGCTGGTCATTTTCCTGCTTCTGTATGTCAGACTGTTCAAGAACCGTGCCTTGTCTTTGTATTCAATTCTTCTTTGATGGACTCTCCTTCTTTCTCACCTAACAGAAATTGTTCACAACTTAATGCAGAAATTTTAAAAAGCTTTCAGGTGCAATCTCTGTCAGACTGAAGCCCTGTGGTCACGCCGCCTGGGAGCACCTCCAGTTCCACCACCCGCAAGAAAAGGAAATGCTGTCCCTTTTATGACTGGCTCCAGGTCATAAAGTTCTTTAAGTTGCTCCCGTGTGTTAGCTGAGCCAAGGTTCGGTTAACACAGGCTCGCGATTGTGGGCGGGTCTTGTGCGGGGCTTTCCTCACACCACAGTCCAGAAAGTCGCCTGCAGCGCCAGAGGTTTTCGCCCCGCGAAGCGAGCGAGCGGCGCCCTGGCGTGGGCCGAGGTGGTGCCCGCGACCTCCGGGTGCTGCCGCACATCCCACGCGCTCGCCGCCACCCGGCGGGTCTGCGCGTCCCTGGCGAACCTCAGCACCGAGGGCGCGAAGGATGGCCAAGTGCAGAGCCGGCACCCCCAAGTCATCGGCCTGGACTGCTGGCGGCTGGGCCACGCTTTCCGAGGATCAGCTCTCCGCCCGCGGCACTTAGTCTGAAGTCTGGAGCCCTTCCCCGGGCGCGAGCTCGTGCAGGACGCTGCGTCCCGGGTCTCAGCGCCACGCGCCCCGCCAGCCCCAACTTGTACTCCCCCCACCCCAGCAGAGCGCGGGGCTCCGGACGGCGACAGTGCCCTGTTCAGCTAAGAGGCGGACAGCAGCGGGCTTCCTCTGAAGAGGCCGCTGGCCACCCGCACTTCCACCGGCCGGGGCCAAGCCCGGGTCACCTTGGCCCGCGTGCCTTTCATTCCAGCCGCCACCCTCGCGGAGAGGTTACTGCGCCTTCCTCCCGCCTTCCTCTCCCGCGCACAACCCCGAGCCTCCCCGCTGAGCCCGCGAGCCCGATAGCGGTGGCGGCCAGTGAAGGGACAGCGCCGAACCCCGGAGAGAGAAAAAGCGGGAATAGGAACCGCTGACTGCGCGGAGCCCCGGCAGCGTCCCTCCCGGCCCTGCCTGGCTCCCGCTCTGGTGACCCCACTTAGCGCCAGTGCCCGGGCTGGGAGTCCCCGCTGCGCATCTCAGCTGCCCTCTCCAACTTCTTCCTATCTGCAGCTGATGTGCAAGCTGGCCGGGTTTGCAGGTGGAGCGAGCCCAAAACCTACCGTTGGTGGCGGCGATCACTCCCCAGGGGGCGGTCAGACTCTGGAGCCACAAGCCCAGGACCACCGGGAGCAGTGCTTTGCTCTCCATCTCGGCGCGCGCCCTCCTGCAGGAGCTGCGCGGCGCGGCGGGTGCACGGAAGGCTGGTGCACAGGCTGAGCCGCAGGCGAAGAGGGCTGGAGCTCGGCACAGGGAAAGTCCTCCTTTAAAGGGGAGGGCAGGACCGCTGGAAGTGGCAGATTTCCTCCGAGGAGGAAGTGGAGGAGGAGGAACTGAGTCTGACACTGTCTCCACTCCAGGGTGGTTTAAGTGGCTGGAAATATGCAAATAAACCTCATCACCTATTGGTTATAAACTCATAAGTTGGGGGGAGGGCCCAAAATTCACTTCCAAATATTTGAGCAAACTGCAATGAGGATCAACCCTGCCAGCAGCGAGAAGAAGGGGAAAGGGCAGAGAGGAAAATGTGCTGTTGTTCCATTAGGTTCCTGCTGGCCCTACCCATCCACTGCCCAGAGCCCCCTGTGCAGGCACCAAGTAGGTCTACACTGATTTAACTACTCGCAATCGTCAGTTTGCCAGGGAGAAAGAAATTTTGTTCTTAAACAGTACTCGAGCAACAATTTAATCCGCTTCTCTTCAGATGGCTCCTGATTGTTAACTTGCAGTGCCATCCCCCACCCCCATAAATCAACAGTAGGGACCCAGGGACACGCAGTGCTCCGCAGGGGGCCCTTGCACAATGTGGTGTTTTAACTTTAGCAAGATGGAATAGCGTGTGTGGTGGAGGAAAGCCCACTTGCTCTAACTAGTTTCTAATTTTTATCTCATTCAAATTAGCCTCAGGTTCACTGAGGAATGCACGAACATGTTCTCTTCAGAGGCAGAATATCCAGGCCAAACAATTTTTAAATTATACTGAGCTCTAAATGAAAGAAGAGAGTCACAAAAGATATATACTATGTGGTTCCAAATCTATTGAGACAGAAAGTAGATTAGTTGGTTGCCCTGGGGCTAACGAAGACAGGAGAGGTTGGATGGGTTTGGGAATGGTCTAAAATTACATTTTAGGGTAATGGTTGCACAACTCTGGAAATGTACTAAAACCTGTTGAATTATGCTTTTTCAATGAGTGAACATTAAGCTATTGTGAAAAGTGGATTGAGCCATGCACATAAAATAAGAAGCAAAATAAAATCACATTGAATACTGGGGCTTTTTGCCAAAATGCTAAGAGTGCTTTCAAAGGAAAAGGAGTTACATTATTTCTGATGGACAATTAATTCTGTATGTCTCACCTTATGGCTGAGAAACTGGTTCGTAAAATCAGAATCTCCAATTCATTGTCTTTACTGGTCTGAATGTGTTCCTGTCTGTCCCTCTGCCACACACACACATGCAATGTGCATTTGTAGATTAGGGTGAAAGGTGATGCGATTTAAACTAGGCTCAACTTTTAAATTTTTCTCAAACAACCAAAAAGCTGATAATGCCCCAGTAATTCAAAATTTGATGTTCCATAGACCAGAGAGCTAACTTTAAATTGATGCATGCAACACCACAACAAATGTATCACAATTAAACAATAGTCCACATTCATTCCATCCTACGAAAAATGTAGAGAATCTTGAAGCCTGCCAAGAATTAAACCCCACAGAACTATTTAGAAGTGGCAGAACAGATCGCCTGGAAGGATAACTATGATATGGTTTTCCTCCAAAATTTATGTAGTAAATTTTAACTATCAAAAAGCAAAAGAGGAGTCCAATTGCTTTCGATGTGCTCATAAATGAAAGACCTAAACAGAAGTGCAGAAATGCCTCTTAGCATATATAGAACACTTGTATCACTTATTTTCATGCATAAAATCATTGATTAGGCAACCAAACCAAAGTGCCTCTTTGTATCTTCCAGAGAGCTGCTAAACTTTATGTGACTACAAAAGGGCAATCTGGTGCTTATACGGGCTTTTTACAGGCTAACAGATAACAAAATCAAAATATTTAAGAGCTGGGGTACACTTTTGTTTGTGTTAAGTGTAGCCTTTGCGGTTATGCTGCATATCCATTAGAGCTTCAGAGATTTCCAGGAAGGACTAACCTTCAGCAGCTGGGCCTGGTGGCAGAACAGATCCGCTGGCTGCCTTCCCACGGACAGGGGTGGGCAGGTGGGTGTGGCGGCAGCGCTGTCTCCTGATTGGCTCTGCGCTGGGAAGGATCAGGTGCCTGAGTTCTCACTCATAGACTCACATGAGCTCTGGGTCAAGACTGCATGTGCGTTAGAGAAGGGAATCCTGCCCAAACTTCGACAAGGTTATTTGGTCAAGAATAGCCTGCGGCTTGGCTTTTTCTAAAAGTGATATTCATTTGTAACAAAATTTAAAAAAGAAAACTTTAACGAGGCTAAGCATTTTATAAACGTTTAGGAGGCATTATATTTAGGGTAGGATACTTGGACCTGATAAGGCTAAAAACGATGCAAGTAAAAAATTTAACCTAGGTACTTAACGAAACAACTGAAATTCTGGATATGAGGAAGCGTTATCCACCGATCTATCTATTATCCTGCCTGCCTGCCTGATGTTTGCACAAACTGGGCACTTTTCCTCCCGTTCTGCATTCAGTCATTACAAAAACATGCCTAGAATTAAATAATATTCTCATTGTACAGATGAGGGAGGATGAGACTCAAAAGAGCTTAAATAACAGTAACCATAAAGTGTTTTTTCTTTGACAGTCACAGGAGAGAAAGCAAATGTATTTAATGTGTTAAATTTTAATATAGCTGTAATTGCTAGCCAGAAAAGGCTGGAAGCAGATGCATATTTTTTGTTTGTTTAATGCATATTTTAGTGAAGATTTAATTTTGTGGTTAAACTAAGATATGAAATGTCTAAATGGGCTGTAAAGAGCATCGGTTCTGAGGTGGATGTGGATCACAAAATAATTATATTGAATGCAGGAAGAAATAGTTCATACAAGTAAAATTTACAACTGAAAAACTATCCATAAATTTTTTTTAATTTATTGACCTTTTAAAGAAAAAAGTGAACCAAGATGCTTACCAAAAATCGCTCTTAAGGGCTTTCCAACACCATTTATCAATCCAAGCAATATTACACAGTAGACAGGGAGGAACACAGATTGATCTGAACAGACACTGCGATGGTCATATTATATTGGTGATACTATGGCAAGGCTGGGGATGGAGTCAAAGGAATCGGCTGTGGATCGGATGCCTGAGGACAGAGCTGTCCTACTGGGCCGGTAGTGGATAGAGACGCTGGTGCTGCAGAGCCCTTCTCTAATTATAGCCCAGGAAAACTGTGCTGAAGTGTCCAAATAGCATGTCACGAATATTCAAGTCAGACGCGATACAGTTAGGTAAAGTTGAGTTTTGAGCCCTGGAAAAGTTAAAAGTATAAATAAAATGTTAGCTTTGGGTTCTAGCCTACTAACCGTTTCCCTTAAACAGGACTAAGTTAAAGAGTCAGTGTTATTTTCTTTGCTTATGGGAGGAGGAGCATCATGGGGCGAGGAGAGAATTTCTCCAAACCAAAAAGTTATCATTAAATAATCTGGGCAAATTTTAAGGATTTTATTCTTCCAATGTTAGTAATATCAACATTAAAACATTTGTCTGAATAAAGTTAAGTAGAAAAATAAAAGATAGTTTTCAAAAAGAAAATTTTAAAACTCTGAAAATCAGTGAATTGTTGTAGTACTACCAGGAACAAGGCTTTTTGATGCGTGGAAGAGAACAGAAATACTGAACAAGCTGGGAATGGTGGTGCATGCCTATAATCCCAGCACTCCAGAGGCTGAGGCAAGAGGATCCTTGCGAGTTCGAGACCAGCATGGGCTTCAAAGTGAGCTCAAGGCCAGCCTGAACTGCTAGTGAAGCCCTGTCTCAAAAAGACAGGAAAAAAAAAGAAAGAAAGAAAGAAAAAAGAAACACTGTCACTGCAGAACCACCAGAGAGAGGGATGCAGCCCTTTCCTAGAGGACAGCTCATAAAATCTAAAAAGAATGCCCACAAATAATTTATGTTCATTTATAAATAGATTTCCCCCTTTTTGCAAAAAACAAGATTAAAAATAGTATAAGTCCACGTGAGAGGTTTTGCTCTCTGTGAGATCTACTGAATGACTTGAATGCTTCAGAACATGAATTCTTATTGCTGAGGGTCTCACAGTTAGAGATAATTTTCCGCTCAGCATCAGAGGCCTGCCCTGAAAGGAGGTAGGCTCATCGCAGAACATGTGTGTAAGGTGCCCCCTGCTGACACGCTGGGGACACTGTCAACCTCAAAAAAGCCATTGACTTGATTCATTACTAAGCTATCATGTTGTTATCTAAGTTATCTCATTCCTTTTGCTAGGTGTAAATTATGTGAAGGGAAGGCATTGCTCCTTCCACCCCTGAGTGTGTCCCAGCACACCTAATGGTGCAAGCACGTTGAGAGGTTCTTAGTCAATAGGTGAATCAGTAACATGGAGTAAAAGGTGACCTAGCATGAAATGAGGAGAAAACAGGATTCTTTATTTCAAATTTTCACTAATTTACTGATAAGGAGTCTTTAAATACAGGTGTGCAGGTGTGCACATGTGTATGCATGCACACACACACACACACACACACACACACACACACAGGCCTTGATGTAGGTTTTTATAGGCAGGCCAAGTCTGTATTAGAGAAACTGGAGGCCAATCTCACTTGATAGGCAGAATTGCTGGCCTCTGTTTTTTCTCTTCTTTCTTCCAAATAACCTGTTAGTTTGAAAAGTAACTTGATGCTGACCAAAAACAAAACCACAAAAGTAAAAACCAAAATTTCAAGCTACTAGTTAAAAGTGTGAACTATACCTAATTGCGTGGATTTGCATCTTTCAGTTTTTAAATAAGGTTGGTTGAGGATTTGTCAGTTTTATTTAATCTTTCAAAGAACTAACCCTTTGATTCGTTTATTCTTTGTATTTTTTGTTAGTCGCCATTGCATTAATTTCTGCTCTGATCTTTATCATTACCTCCCTCCTACAAGCTTTTTGCTTGACCTGCTCTTTTTTTTCTATAAACTTGAGCTTCAAAATTAACTTAATTATTTGAACTTGCTCTGTCTTTTTGATATGAGAATGCACCACTATAAATTCCCTTATAGAGCCTCTCGCATCATGAGTCCTGGGCTGAGTGAGTGAGTGCTCAGGGAGCTACTGGTCCCGCGGTTTGAGTCCATGCTTTGCTCACACCACCACGGTTCCCAGCTAAAACTCACAGAGAGCCAGGTATTTCCCATCTACTTCCTGAGGGCAGAGCAG